CTAAAAAACCTGAAACAATTCAAGTATTGTGTTCCTTACTAGGTTGTAGAAAAAATATCTTAATTGATTTTATAAATAAGAAAGTCCTTGGATCAGAGCTTTTCTATACAATATCTGATCTTAAAAAAATATTAGGACATTTTAATAGTTGCATTCAGGCTTGTAAACTAATCATTATGAATGAAACAGGAATGTCTAATAGAGATTGGCATAAGTATAATAATCATTTTAAATCACTTATTACAGAAAATTATTTAACAGTTGAACACAAAGATATTGAACTAAAAGTCATAAAAGACTATGCTGAATTATGGTATTAAGTAATCATGATTCTCTACTCCAAATAGAAATAGGTAATCGATGTATCATATGTTTTGATGTATCTTCCTGTTGTAAAGATAACATAGCATATTTTAAGAATTTAGCCAAAGTACTCGAGTACTGTGATGCATTAAATGTAGTTATGGCTTATTTATTTAGTCTTGATCTCTCAGATTGAAATCACAAGATATTTCTGCTACTAAAATGAAAGTTGAAATGATGCGAGAACACCTAGCAAATCTAATTTATTTTATAATTGATTATATTTTGACATGGTCTGAGAATCAAAATAATAAATCAAGCAGTAAAAATTTATATCAAGATTATTTTACTTGGTGTGAAAAAATCGTAAAAAATCTTTAGCTACTAAAGTGGCTAAAAAATATTTTAAATCAATAGATATTAAGAAAAAGCAGGTACGAATTAATAGAAAAAGAAAATAGGTCTATATTCTTGATCATTCCAAGATCGTAGCCAAGTTATGTGAATTGATAAGTGATATTAAGGAATTTTCTGATGTATCTCAAGCCAAGACACTCATCAACACTTTCGCAAATATCCCTGTATTCGATATACCTGAAATTGTTATACCTCCTAAACCAAAAAAAAGATAACAGAACCATTAACCACTGATCATATTAAAAAAAGTAAGAGTACATCACCCATCTCATTTACTACTAACATAATTTAGGATCTCTTCGATTCTATAACAAATAGAAGTTCAGCTGCTTCATCATCTATGTCTACCAATATATCTATGACTCCAGAGATCAAATATATAGAACTTGTAGACAATAAACCTATTGCAAGACAATGTCTTTCTGAGCCTAAATCACCAAAAATTATCGAATCAGTAAGTGATAAAGCTGGATCTATAAATGATAAGCCTGAGATATCTCCCAATATACCAGCAAATGATGAATCAAAATCTAGCAATAAAAAAGCCAACATCTAAACGAAATTATACTCAGCTAGATATATACCCTGAGCAGAACAAAAAAATATCTCAGATAGTGGGCTATAGATCATGGTAAAGATCTAGATAAGTTCATAACTATTACTAAAAAAGACAGAAATTTAGCATATATATATCATGATAGATTATGTTCAGACGCAGACATGATCCAATTCATAAAAGATACCAATGATAATCCAAACACATTGATGGACATGTCTAGACGAGAACGATTAATAAGCAAGGAAATTATACTCTGATTGTATGAAGATGATGTCAACCTCCGAGCAAGGAGCTATGATGATAAGAAATAGATAGAAAAAATAATGATACTTCAGGAAAATAGATATCTATAGTAACTCAGTTTGTCATTATGTTAAGGTGAAGTTTTGTAGGTAGAAATATCTAATAGAGAGGGCTTTTTGCCTCTTCAAACTAGCTAATATAAAATTTTCTAATAAAAATATTATATAAACTATATATTTTTTATATGCTATATATATAAATACTGTAAACAAAATAAACAATCAAGAATTAGAAGCCTCAGAAAAAGTATTTAACTTATTGACTAACCAGATAATAAATCCAAATAGACCAATATTTTGTAAATTAATCTACAACAGGTACATATCAATAGTTTATCAAATTATTCTGAAATCTCAGAATATATTATTCTGAGCATATAGCCTTCTTATTTAATATATGAAAGCCAGCAGTGATACCACCACCTGAAATATTACAAAACATATCTGACATATTTCACAAATATCTTGTAACTGTTGAATCATGCCAGAATCTATTTGAATAGAAACTTAGCAGAATCCTGATATAATAAAGACAAAATAATACCTTAATATATAATGTAACTGGACTCACCCAAAACTACAAATTTTTTTTGTTATATTCTAGTTAATAGTAAATTTCAAATTAACGTTCTAGTTACTTTATACATAGCCATATACTCTCTTTTTCTGTGCATGGGAGGAAAAAGCATAATTAATTTTGATTTAAAAAAATATTTTTTATAGTATATATAATCTAAAGAACTATTTATAAACTACTAAATCTATTAAAACATCTAATCATGTCAGCTATTATAACTAAAATCATTGAAAAATACAATCTTAGCTCCGAGATGAATATGACTAATCTCAGTCAATATACCTCAGAGTTTCTCGAGAATCTTACTGATGATAAAAGCAGAATCAGGCATGCAGATATTTTCGGGATAGCTTTAAATTTAGCAGTGAACAGGTAAGTATATTGATACCCAACCAGAAAAATAATAAAACTAAAGTTATAAATATTGCAACTTCTAATAGTTACCAAATTTCTGATCCAACTCCACAAAATTCAGAAAAAACTATTAGAGAAATAGCATATCGAATTATACAAGATAATCTCAGTACTAGTGTTGTAAAAGCTAAAGCTCATACTTTAGCTAATTCAGCGCCAAATGTCAATGCTGGCTCATCACGTCTTTCTCAACTCCGAAGAAAACTAAAAAATTTTGGCACTTCATTCCAAATAATCAAAGCTACGAAATTTCTTGATATTACAAAAGATGCTAATAAAATTCAGAGAGATCAACATAAATTTGTTGAGGCATTCGAGATAATTGATTATCCAGACCACTTTATATTAGAATCAGTTAAGGAAAGATTAAATAAGTATGATATTTCTACCCTGCCTGATTTACAAGCTCTCGCAGATATTATAATAATGCTTTGTATATACTTCGTTGAGCTTACAACTTTATACATTACAGACTCTGGAGTAACAGATTATACGAAGAACAGAGATCAGCCAAATATTTCTAGAAAATTTAGATCTATGGAAAAGGATCAAGAACGAGCCAAAGAATTACTAACCTGGATACAGAATACCATATCTTCTGGTCAAATAGGTAATCTAGATAAGCCAGAAGTTAAATAGTTCAATAGATTCTTAAAAGATTATAATTTAATTCCTTGCTATTTATGTAAAATAGATGCTATATATATTGTAGTAGTATATGAGGCAAGAAATTTAGCTCATGCTATAACAATTGCTGAAGAAGCCTTACACCACAATCCTGACAATAACACCTCACCAATACAAAATTATATTGTGATAAATTATCAAAGAAAAAATCAATCTCTAGAGCAAGCAAGACTATTCCAGATCTATGATAAAGACTAATCACACTTCTTCACTTTTACTATATCCACAATAAAATTTTTATTATCATTAGACAATTCAGAGTCAGACTCAGATTCAGATGAAGATGAAGATTCAGATGCGATATCATTAAAAATTGGTTTTTTTTCAGCTTTGCTTCTTAAAATTTTCTTTTTTCTTTTAGTCTTATATAGTGTACGATTTTTTCAAGAAATATCTAGACTAGATATATTGCTCTCTAAATTATTAGATAGATTCTTGTAGAATGATATCACTCTATCATAGATTAAAATTCTTCTACTATAAAGATCAATTTTGTTTCATACAACCACAGCTATGGCATTTTTAATACAAGATCAGCTTTAGATTCTTTGCAGACTATAAAATCATTTAAAACTTCATCACTACCAGATACTAATTTATCTTTACCCTTAAATCGAAAAGATAATTCAAGGCTTTTCATGATACCTACAGCATCTTTTATTTGTTTTTTAATATATTTTGGTAGGTTGCTATATTTTATTCCAAGTTTATCAACTAAACTTTTTCTAATAATGTTTTTATCTGATGATGTATCAATTAATACTTTAACTAAGTAAGGCTCATAACCCTTTTCATGAATTTTACATTTTAGTAGTAGAAAAATGAGCTTTTTGGTACAAAAATCTCTTGACCTCCAAATGAACCCAGAAGGTTGTCCTAGATATCAAAAAATCGCCTCCCAATAGTATACCATATAGGTAGCTAAAGAAGAGGCAGGAGCATAAACCCTTTAGGGCGATGCGGATACCCTTGGGAGAAAAAATATAGCAGGAACATGAGCAAGCCCTTTAGGGCGAAGCGAATGTGAATACTATATTTTTTCAACCTATATGCTACTATTCTAGTGTATGCTAATAAATAAGGTATATTCAAAAGCAATCATAAATACAAGACAAGGTTTACTATAGGCAGAGCAAAGCGAAGCCTTTGTGCGAAGCAAAGCAAAGCACATGTAAACAAACCATAAAGCATATAATGAATGCAATACATGGTTTACTATAGGCGGAGCAAAGCAAAGCCTTTGTGCGAAGCGAAGCAAAGCACAAATAAACAAACTAAAAAGCATATAATGAATACTAATATTATAAGCAAATAGGATCATAATTTTCACCTTAAGATAAAAAATAATGTGATATAAATGTATACATTTTGGGTTCTGGAAACATCTCTGACACTAGCCCATCATTAAACCATCATTTGCCTAAATTTTTGCAAGCTTTTGACGCTGATAAAAATCTCGAATGCGATATTTACCTGCATGTTTCCTACAAGCACTATAAATAGAGGAAGTTAATTTTCCGCATTCTATACAGAGAACTCGATTAGGAGATTTCCAATGAACTTTACACCCTTCTTCTCGATAGCACTCCTCATTGCATACTTCTCTGGACCTAAGAATATATGGATATTTATAAAATCTCATATTAGTTTGTTTTTTGAATAAATATGTAACTATAATTATCTGAATAAATTAATTTTTATTTTAAGCTTTTTTGTAACTATATATAATCTTTAGGAAAACATGAGTAAAATACTTAGTACTATCACCGGTGTATTAGGACAACTGTTTGGAAATCTCTTACCAAGCTGGGGAGACCCAATGCCACTTGAGTTACCTGAACTTTCTGAGCTACCAGAACCAGAAGAAGGGTCAGAGGAGGGGGAAAGCGACTATGAGACCGCAGATGAAGGAGATATATCAGATTCTGAATCCGAATCTGATAACAAGTCAGAATCTGAAGAAGAAAAACCAATATTTCAAAGAATAGAAGATCTAGCCCCAAAAAGATTAGTAGAAACTAGAAGAATTTCTGATCAAGATTTATGTATCAATCATCTTGCTATTATTCCAGAAACTTATCTATATCAAGAAGATCCCTTAGCCATGTTTGAAAATGTTGAAGACCAAATTAGCAATGTTTATAGAAGAGAATTAGCTCAATTAGGGGTATTAAAATAAAAATAGTTCTTATTGCTCATATGTATCAGATTGCATAAGGAGGATGTTTTGGATATCGAATAGATCAAGACATAGCATTTCCAAGTGAAATTTTAGATATTATTCGTCAGGATAGAATAGACCAAACAGTTTCATGTCAGTATAATGAAATCTTAGATAAAATCGATGACATG